AGCCTCTGCCCCCCTCTATTTGTCTTTTTCCTGGCAACCTTCCATATGTTTTCCTAGGCAACCATTCCCTGCAGTGCTCTCAATCCAGGTGCTTCCACTTGAATTGGCTGCATACCCATCGCAAGACCTGATCAGGTCTGGCGAATCAGAACACCGAATCCCTTGCAAGGTTCAGACTTCTGACTAAGGAGAGCCTGTGAGATATGGCAGTTCTACTGAGGCTGCTGAGAGAGAGGAATGTGCTCTCTCCTGATGTACTTGAATCAAGGCCAACAGAGCACAAAAGAGGGATCCCACAGAATGATCAGAAACCAGTTCTTTTTGTGCTGTAGGCGGTTGAGGTATGTTTTCTGACACTCAACTCTCAACAATGGGAAGGGGCTCTGCCTAGCTGGAGCGTTTTGAGTGAGAGGGAAGTGGGATTAAGGATAATTCAGGTACAAATGTATCAAACCAACACAGTGTACACCTTAAACTTCCACAACGTTAAATGCCAATTATACCTCAATAAAAGTAGCAATTAAGAAATATTAAGTTGTATTGAAAATACAAAAAAAAACCACAATAGGTTTAAAAAAGTTGTTTTAGAAAAGATAATTCTGGAGATATAAACAGATTCCTTTTAGTCTTACAGACTTTTATCAACGAGTCTGGATTTTATTCTAAGAGCATTGGAAATTTAAACATTGGAAGTAGAAAACTAACATGATCCCATTTATATATATATATATATATATTTTTTTTACACTTTTATTTTTTATTTATTGATTTTGGAGACAAAGATTTGTTGTTCCACTTATTTGTGCATTCATTGGTTGATTCTTGCATGTACCCTGATCAGGGATCAAACCTGCAACCTTGGCGTATCGGTAAAATGCTCTAACCAACTGTGCTGCCTGGGCAGGGTCTATTTTTATTTTTATATTTTTTAAATCATTCCGGGTCAGCAAAAATGGTAAAGTAAATACAGCCGAAAATTATCTCCTCCATAAATGAGAAAACTGTCTAAAATGGCCAAAATTAACATTTTCAAAACTCTGGTAGTTAACCAAAGGCCCAGAGCACTTGGGGACAGTTTACCTACAGCTGAGTCTAGTAACAACAGCAAGCTTCCTGGCATTTTAAGCTCACCTCATCCTCCCCTCTCCTGCTCCAAGGTAGCTTTGAAAACAATCGCAGTAATGAGAAAAACCTGCAGTCTGAGAGCCAACAAAAGAAACAATGAGGTTGGAGTGCCTTCAAAATCTCTCTCCAGGGCAACTGTCATTCTGTCCCCTGCCTGGTGCTTCCCTGGATGACCACTTGCAAGGCTGTCTTTGCGTACCTGACTCAGAGCTCACCCAGTAAGAAAAACCTGGGGCATTTGGTGAAAACAATCAGAGGCAAATTATGATCTTCCCAGCTGTCTGAGGTGCTGGATAACTGTGGGGAGGAGGGATGGGAGCAGAAAAGTGATTCTGCCCTGAGTATTTTTGGTATGATTCTAACTCTTAACCATATTCATGTCTAACCACTATGCTGTATGCCTGAAACCAACATATATTATATAAACTGATACCCCAAAAATGTATACACACACTTTGATTAATTATAAAGACAGTGTTTATTAAATTAAATTTTATTTTCAAAGTTGAGCTACCAGCTATTAAAGTGTGTATGCATGTTTTGGGAGACACCCTGTATATTGAATGTCAACTGCAATGAAAAATTAAAAAGAACTTAAAAAATGAATCCAGCTGTGTGCAAAATGAATACAGATTCAAGTGGTGCAGGTAGAACTCATGTAATTGGAATATAGTGTTTTGACTCTCTGTTTGAAGGTAAAAACAACGGGAACTATAAGTAAATAGTGTACGCCAGTAAGTTAGGTTTTTTGTTTGTTTTGTTTTTTACTGTGGTATCATTCACAGTTCTGAAAACCAGTTTGTCTTTTAGGTGCAAATAAGGAAAGGTTTTGTGGTTAATGGAAGCTATGCTTGTCACCTTTGGAGAAGGGACTTATAAACTGGAGAGGGGAAAGGCACAAATGAACTCTGTAGTGTGGGAATGGAATCAGAGGGATTGGTATGAGCCCTTCTTTTTAATAAACAGACGATAGAAAGTGTGTGTGTGTGTGTGTGTGTGTACACAACTGCATATTTTCTAGTTCGGTCTACTGAGAGAGCCCAAGAGCAGCAATGCGTCACATCACCTGGCAGCCAGATCTTGGTTTTTGGGAGCCAGGGCTCTGAGGGAATGGCTGATTTCAGGGCTGGGGCAGGGAAAATACTACAGCAACTCAGGACATCTTCTTGTGCCAAAAAAGATAAGAAAATGCTCAAAGAATAATGAAAGTTTATTAAAATAATTGAGGAGATGGCTAGAAGGGGCTCACACTGGCCAAAATTGAGACAATTTGGTTAACAAAATAAATGTAGTACCGTATTATAAATAGTGCATTATAAGAGTCCCTGAATCTATACTGATATTAATGAATGAATGAATGCTTTCTTATAGTAATAATGAATGCTTTCTTCTATCTTCCACATTACTTATGCCAAGTAATGTGGAAGATATAATGGAACTATAAAATCATGATTTTTGTAAGCACCATAGAAATACCCGTTTAACAGCAGAACCATAAATATATCATTATATGGAAACCAAGATCTTGGCACTAGACTCCCAATGGACAGAGATAGAAAATGTATAGATGTATATATGTATACACACATCTTCTATATCTATAGTATAGTAGGATATTTACATAGTCTCAAAATCTCCCCTTACATTGTTCCCGTTGGCAATCATCATTCTACTCTGTGCTTTTATAAGTTCAACTTTTTAAGATTCCAAATATAAGTGAGATCATGTAGTATTTGTCTGGTTTTATTTCACTTAGCGTAATGTCCTTGAGTTTCATCTATACTGAAGCATGTGACAGAGGTTCCTTCTTTTTTAAGGTGGCTAATATTTCATTGCGTATCTATATAACATATTCTTTACCATTCATCTGCTGATATGCATTCGTGTTGCTCCCACGTCTTGGCTATTGTAAATAATGGTGTAGTGAGCATGGGTGTGCAAATACCTCTCTGAGATCTTATTTTATCAATATATTTTGGCAATTACATGGGGGGGAGGGGACAGTAACTTTTTACAACTCTGAAATTAGCTCAAAATAAAATTATCCGAAAATAAAAGTTCTTAGAAATAGCATCTAACTAAAATATAAAGAATAGCTAAAAGGGCAAAAAAGGTAATGTAGAGGAAGAAAAAGTAACCGTCCAGGAGAATGGAGAATAAAAGAACGGGTAGAAGTGTTTGTGTTTGAGAACCCTTTTTGTACATAGAATTAATAGTATTTGCTGATAGAGTAGAAATGTGGGGAAGGAGGAAAAAAGCTGACTTCCAGAGTTATGGCCTTCGTTCCTGAGTGTATTTTTGATGCATTTTCTGAGCTTGAGAAAGCTGAGTAAAGAATAATTATCAAGGACAAAATCAAGAGTTTCATTTTGAACATTTTTTTTCTGGTTAAAAGGCCCATTCTCAACTAGAGTAAAGAGCAAGGTAGATGTGCCATCTCAGAAATGTCAATGCCATCTGCCAAATGTTTGTGTATATAAGTTTGTGGTAAGTCTCTGAGACAAATATAATTGGCTACAACAGATAGTCTTAGTAAAACGTTAACTAGGTATGTATACAAATGGTTGGTAATATCTATATCTGTGCAAAGTGTTCAAAGGTTCTGTCACGTTTAAAGATAATGGAGTCCAGGGGTCTTGTTTTAGGTGAATGTGTAACAAGGGGCTATCTTAGACAAACCTCAAGTAGAGCAAACACATTGCAAAAGTAAATAGTAGGGGTAATGGCCTAATGTATCTGTGGTGATTCCTCCTGTGAGAACATTATTGAAAAATTGAAATAAATACTTAAACTCGCTCGATGTGTTTGGGAATCTGAACTTGAGATCATATGCTCCTAGGCCAGTGGTCGGCAAACTGCAGCTTGCGAGCCACATGCGGCTCTTTGGCCCCTTGAGTGTGGCTCTTCCACAAAATACCACGTGCAGGTGCGCACGTACAGTGCGATTGAAACTTTGTGGCCCATGTGCAGAAGTCGGTATTTTGTGGAAGAGCCACACTCAAGGGGCCAAACAGCCGCATGTGGCTCGTGAGCCGCAGTTTGCCGACCACTGTCCTAGGCCAAGTCAAGTAGTCAGAGTCATTTAGACAAAAGAATTCTTGCCTGTCCATGGAATTCCTAGTGATACTCAGCAATGTACATTAATGCCACATTTTGATAGGTGGTAATCGTGGATTAGAGGCTTAAGGTCTATCTTAAAAGAGTTCCGAGCTCTCATGTCCACCAACTCTGCATCAGTGACTCACAAGCCTACAAAGTCTATTCTGTGAGCAATGCCAAGGGCCTAAAAATAAAAAATGGGACAGGAGGTGTAGCCTTCAACTAGGTTGTGCTATGTATATTATTTTTTGGTGTGTCATTTACTGCTACAATTCTGCTGGGTAACAAATCACTCCAAAAAAAATAATAAGCGTTTTTTTTTTTTTTAGGTCACTGTGGGTCAACTATTTAGGCTAGGTTTGATTGGAAGTTTCTTCAAGTCTAAGTTGGATTTCCTCATTTGTCCTGGAGTTGGCTGACTACTGGCTCATCTAGGATGGCTTCAGCCAGGATGGGAGAGAAATTGCGTTCTTCCCAATTTATCGCATTTAATTGGGCTGGCATGGTGATGATCTCATAGCATGGCAGAAACACAGACAAGAGTAACTCAATCACACAAAGGATTAGCAGGAGATGCACATCTTCAAGCCACTCTTTGTGATGCATTGGCTAATATCCCACTGGTCAAACCTGGCTGAGCCCTAAATCTGAGCAGTAGAAGAATATAAGATTACAGGTTGACTGTGAATATGGGGTGGCTATTCACGGAGACCACTGATGCAATCAATATACCACAGTCTGCACACTAGCCCTGATTATTTATGTTCCTTCCACAGGCAAAATACACTAAAGCCTTTTCAGGACTCCAAATTCACATCCAAACATGTCAACAGCTTACAAAGTGCAGAATTTTATGATCTATGTCAGGCGCAGATGGTTCTCCTTGGATGTGACTCCTCTTGATACGGAGACGTATATACTAAAACCGTGAGTAATATGCCCCACTCCCGGAACCCATCACAGAATGGTGGGACAGGGACTTGATAAATACGATGCATGCTTCCTTAAAAAAAAAAAAAAAAGAAAAAAGAAGGCTTAGGGGACATATAGCAGTAATTGATTTGTTTTCAGTTGCTGTACAGAAATTTTCACAAATTTAGCAGCTTAGAACAAAACAAATGAATTATCTTGCAGATTCCACGTGCCTGGAGTCTGGGTATGGATTTGGTGAGTCCTCTGCTCAGGGTCTCACCAGGATGAAATCAAGGTGTTGGTCTGGGCTGTGATCTTACTTGAGACTCAGGAGAATCAAGCTCACTGATTGGTGGAAGAATTCATCCCTGGTGGTTGTAGTATTGAAGTGCTTGCTGTGTTGGTGGCTATAGGTTGAGGACAACCTCAGTTCCTTGCCATGCAGTCCCCTACATTGTTGTTTACAGCATGGTATGGTAGTTCCTCCTATCTGCGCCTTCACTTTGCGTAGTTTCAATTACCCAAGGTCAATCATGGTCTGGAAATATTAGATGGACAATTTCAGAAATGAAAATTCACGTTTTTTAAATGCACGCCACTCTGAGAATCCTAACGAAATCTTGTGTCATCCTTCTTCATCCCGCGTAGGATGTGAGCCAGCCCTTTGTCTAGGGAACCCACATTGTATGCAATACTTGTCTGCTAGTCACTTGGTAGCCATCTGGGGAATTAGATTGACTGTGGTGGTATCACAGTGCTTGTGTCAAGTAATTCTTAATAATGGCTCCAAAAGCACAAGAGTAGTGATATTGGCAATTCAGATGTGCCAAAGAAGAGCTATAAGGTGCTTCTTTTAAGTGAGAAGGTGAGTTCAGTGTAATAAGCTATTTTGAGAGAGAGACCACATTCATATAACTTCTATTACAGTAATTGTGACAATTGTTCTATTTTACTCTTAGTTATTGTTGTTAATATCTTACTGTACCTAATATATAAATTAAACTTTATCATAGGTATGTATGTATGGTGAAAAAATAATACAGGGTTAGTAGTTGTTGGTAGGTTTGTAGTTGTTCGTATGGAAAATAATACAATAATTCATAAATAATACAAGAATAAACTCTGTGTTTCATATACTCTACGCCTGCCCCACTCTCTATCTAAGCTCTGGAAAACCCTCATACATAAGCTAAAGGATTCTTTGAAGGAAAATAGTTTTGGTAGTTGAGTCAATAGGAGAATGAAGCCATACTTAGTCATTTTCAGTTTTCAATTTTTCTCTTAATAAAATGCTGATTTTTTTTTCTTTATCGATATGTAACTTAAAACTTGTCTTTTTCTTGGTAATCTGTGTTCTCTGTATAGCAAGGATGATAACCCTTTGTCTAATTTTGCAAATACTTCCCCCAGTTGCCACTTGTCTTCTATTTTGACTGATTATAATCTTTTACATAAAAATGTTCAAGCTCAAAATTCCTTAGTCATTTTGCTTGCCCTCGTTCCCTCCAACCACAACGGATCTATGAAAGGAGAGCAGAAAGGCTGGGAATGTGGGTCAGAGGAGCTTTGGGGTGCCTGGGACAGAGAGGTGCAGCCCGCCTGCTGAGGAGCCCAGATCAGATGACCCCCAGGGGAGTCCTGCCTCAGGGAACAGCTTGGTGTGTGGCCGCCCAGCATGCTCTTTGTTGCCCGGAGCAGGAGGTCGATGCCACGGTGCAGGACCTGGAGCATGTCTGCTGTTTCCTTCTTGACGGCGGGTTCTCTTGAAGGGACACGTGAACGGGGCTTGTCCACGGCCACCACATTCACGCCTGGTGTTGTACACAAACCCACCGCCACATGTTGTCAGGGAATTCGTCCTACATGATTTCCCGGGGCCACTCTTTCTGAAAGTAAATCCTAAAAGGAGAGGTGCATAGGACAAAACACCGTCCCTCTCTCTGCAGTTATCCCGTCACTAACGGCGCTGCGAGTTCTTGCCCTGAGCTCTGCAGGCTCCTCTGGAGCTCTCACCCAAACTCTCCTTCCCCGAGGGTCTGAGCGCTTGGAAATCATGCTCCTTTTTAGCAGGGACTCTAGGACAAGGGAGTGCTGAGTAGAGCCAAGTGGATAAGCTCAGTTCTACACACGCACACTCTCCCCGTCGGCCAGTGTGTAAACGCAGCCCCTCCCAGGGTCATTTACCCCTTCCCAGTGGGGCCCCTTCTTACAGTGAGGCTTTTGAAAGGCGATCTGAGCAGCACACCTCCCTTGCCACCACAAAAGGTAATGAGGGAAGTGCCTGTACTCAGTGATGATAAAGAAACCCAGAAATCGCCCGGCCAGTGTGGCTCAGTGGTTGAGTGTCGACCTATGAGCCAGGAGCTCACTGTTGGAGTCCCCGTCAGGGCACATGCCCAGGTTGTGGGCACGATTCCCAATAGGTGTGCAGGAAGCAGCCAGTCGAACACTTTCACACCCTTACCAACATCAACACTCTTGATGGCCTCTTCATGTTTTAAAAGTGTATTAGTCGTCCATTTCACCAGCAACAAACTTAAATAAATAAATAAATAATAAATAAAACCCAGCAATTTAGAGTTAAATTCATATGCTATATCAATACCAGAAGAAAAAACTGGCAATAAAGTTTTATGAGAATTGATAATAAAATAAAAAGAGTTTTAAGCAAGGGAAGGAGGGAAAATACAATCTAATTTTTATCTAATCTCTGATACAGAAAGAGCTTAAACAGATATTGAAAAAAGAAAGCAAAACGCATACAATTGTAATACTCATTTATTAAAAAATATTTCTCTTGATTAAGAGAAACTCCATAAGTTAACAGGCAAATTGAAAAAATTTTTAAAAATAAATAAGCCTCCTTTTAATGGTCTTAAATAAAAATCTCAAAATTTTATTTATTTTTATTTAAAAACGCCAAGATTTCCTCCAAGTTATGGCCAGTTTATAAGATATGATTCTGTATAGAACATAGCTTCCATTCCCTTACTTTGGGCTCGATTACATAAATAGTTTAACTTGGAGGGCACATCAGGAAGCAACACTGCTCAAAGCCGGTCATTCTAGGGGAACTTTATGGAGTTTTTTCCTTCTTCCTTTCTTTCTTTTTGTAACGCGCCACAGTGGGTTTTTGGTTACACCTTCCTTAGACATTTTTTGGAATAAAATGATTGAGTCTGTGCTGCGTGGAGGAGAAATCTGGGCCACCAGTGTTCCATCTGTCTACGATTAAGAGCACATTCCAAGTTTTTTCTACGGAGCTACTTGGCTAGGTCTTCCCCACCCCCACGCTCCTCCTGGTGTGGCGGCAGCAGCATGGGTCTTCTGGCTTCCACTCTGCCAAGAAAACGTTTCCCCTCTCTGTAGGTCCCCTGTCAGTTAATGTTTAAATTTGCACATTCAATCAACCAAGCAGAATAGCTAGCTGAACGCCACACATCACCACAGCGGTTTTACACTTTCTCGTGTATTCTGCCAACTATAATATTTAATGGTGCTACTTCCGTCCTATTTTAATGTTATTTTGTTTATGATCATTTCGCGTGAGGATTTATTTTTCTCTTTTCTAACACGCTGTAATACTCCAGGTTTTCTTTCTTTCCTACTGATGTAGACCTTTTACCTTCTGCTTCTACCTGTCCAGAGGTTATCTTTCATTCCTCCCTCAGGGTTCTAATATTATCAGAAGCGGGACGTGCACAAGGAACAGGCATAGTACGGGAACAAAAATGAAAATTGCCCATCACTTCCCGCATGAAGCGTGTGTGTACGCTTCATTTTTGGCAAGGTACTAGCCTCGAAAATACCAGTGGAGTTATAAGGGGAGATAGAAAGAAGACACCAGAGGGCTGGTAAGCCTCTCTCTCAACATTCTGGTCATCTTTAAAATACCAGGGGAGAGATGTGGCGATAGCAGAAATAGGAATGTATACTGGCGCCAGGCCGTGTCCCGTGGCATCCTCCTTTCAGGTCATCTCCCTTCATTATTTCTTTTTATGCATTTGTTTTTGAGTCGGGAATGTATTTAGGTGACTTAAAACCCAAAGAATATTAAAGGAAGATAGTGAAAAGTTGTATTTTCCTCCATAGTCCCTCATCAGCTGAATTGTCATAATTACTGCTCCCCCACCACATGTAGCCACTTTGACTAGTTTTTTATGTATTCTTACAAAGTTCCCTTACACAATACAAAGAAATAATGCATGTTCCTAGTCCCCCTCTCAGCCTAAAATACACCGTGTGATCCAGGTTTCTGACCTTTTTAACAAACTTAGCAATATTCCTCGGAGATCTTTCCCTGTTGATGTATCATTTTCACGTTCTTTGTTACCATAGCATAGTGTTACATGGCACGAGGGCCACATCAGCAGTGCCCCATTCTCTTATTAGTTTCCATATTGATCCATGATTTCCTCATTAGTAAGGAAATCCACCATTTCCTTATTAATGAGTTCCAACCAGTTACTATTACAACTATTACTAGTGAATAGCCTTATTTATATGTCATTTTTTACCAATATGAGTATCTGTGTAAGTTCCCAGATGTGGGACTGCTGAGTCATAGGGTATATGCATTTTAATTTTGATATTTACAATAAGATCACTCTCCTTTAGGGACCCCAGCAGTTTCTACTTCCAGCCAGCAATGTGCCAATGCTTGTGTCCTGCAGCCCCACAAACCCAACACGTGTTAAGGGTTTGCTTCTTGCCATATACTTAAAGGAATGAATATTTTTATTTTTGTGAACAGTTTACTTCTACTGCTTGCCCATTTACCTATGGGTGGCCCTTTTCTTATCAACTTAGAGGAATTCTTTACATGTTTGGGAGATTAGCCCTCTGTCTATGATATGAGATAGACAAATAGTTTTTTTCAATCTGTCTTTGCTTTGCTTATGGTGCTTTTGCTTTTTAAGCAATTTTCTTAAAATATATATAGGGTGGGGGTAGAATGAGCTGATGAATAAAATAGATCCAGAGACATAGAAACATGGAACAGAGTGTTGGAATAGCAGTGGCCAGGTGGGGGTGGGTGGGTGGGAAGAACTTGAATGCATCTATGCATAACCCATGGACATAGACAATAGGGTGGTGAAGGCCTGGGGTAGGGGGGAAGAACAGGCTAGAAGGGGTCAATGGGGGGGGGAGATATATGTAACATTTTCAACAATAAAGATTAAAAAGCAAAAATATAAGGTG